ATTGTAGAATTATTTTTTCGAATACATACATGTTTTGTTATTATTTTTATCACTGAGAAATGTGCCCTTTTTGGGTGACAAGTGGCTGAGGAATTTTTGTACGATTGGAAATTTAATGTTGGAGAACCGTTGGAATCCTCTGGAGCTCAGTAGAGGAGTAATTAAAGTTTCTATGCATTGATAATTCTCTTTTTCTTAAAAAGTTCGGGCAAAAGTTTGAATTTTTTGGGGGAAATGGGGAACACTCGTTCATCTCTTGTATTTTCTTAAAAAAATTTCTGAACAGTTTTTAGAAAAACGAATTTTTCTTTGCTTTCAAACATTTGAGGGATTTGACGGTAAAATGAGTTTTGCAAAACTTCTTGGTATCAGTTTCGAAATTGTGAAAGATCCGTCCTGGATCCCCATAGGTGTAATAAATTAATAAGATACACAACCACATTCGAGTGATTCACTATTAGCATTCAGAAATAAATCAGAAGATTTCGTAAAAGTCTTGTTGGGGAACTCTGCGAAGAAATATCATGAAACAGGTGTTTGTCTATGTACTAATACGTTTAAAAGCCAAGATTCACATAATAACCTCATCCTCACGTTTCATAAGAGGATTAAGCATGCTCCTCCACGAATTCTCAACGGCTAAACCAGAATATCTCCTAATTAATTCTCCTACATTTTTTAAAAATTTCAAATTCTCAGAAGCCCGTTACTAATAAAAATATTCGTTTCTAAAATTCCTTTATTAATATAAAATTCCTATTTTCTAACAGAGAAAACAAATATTTACAAATTTAGGAACTTACAAATTTACAAACTTACAAATTTAGGAACTTACAAATTTACAAACTTACAAATTTAGGAACTTACAAATTTACAAACTTACAAATTTAGGAACTTACAAATTTACAAACTTACGAATTTACAAATTTACAAATTTAGGAACTTGCAACTTTACGAATTTAGAAACTTACGAATTTACAAATTTACAAATTTAGGAACTTGCAACTTTACGAATTTAGAAACTTACGAATTTACAAATTTACAAATTTAGGAACTTGCAACTTTACGAATTTAGAAACTTACGAATTTACAAATTTACAAATTTAGGAACTTACAAATTTACAAACTTACAAATTTAGGAACTTACAAATTTACAAATTTACAAATTTACAAATTTAGGAACTTACAAATTTACAAATTTACAAATTTACAAACTTATAAATTTACAAATTTAGGAACTTGCAAATTTACGAATTTACAAATTTACAAATATACAAATTTACGAATTTACAAATTTACGAATTTACAAATTTAGAAATTTGGAAATTTAGAAATTTACGAATTTACAATTCTTCTTTTCCAAATATTAAATTTACATTTCTAGTTTTTACAGAATTTTAAACTCTCAAAACTCCTGTTATAAAAATTAAAATTAAAATCTACGAAATTCCACTACTGACGAAAATTCAAACTTAACAGATTCCTATTTTTGACAAAAATTCTAATTCGCAAAATTCCATCTACTAACAGAAGAAAAAACCAATTATTACTCGATTCTCTCAGGTGCTAGTCAAAATCGATATATCCTAGTTGGTAACCACGGGGATTACGCGACTACCAAACAAGCTTCAGCTTCCTGTCCAGAGAGAAATGGCCGCTTTCCGAATCCAACACAGTGTGACGCCTACGTAGAATGCATCGAAGGTGTTCCCGAGGATAAATTGTGCCCCGAGGGACTGGTATTCAATCCTGACGCGAGATTCAATTATCCATGTGGTTACCCCATAGACGTGGACTGTCAAGGAAGGCCTAATAGACGTTAGTGTCACCCAATTTTACACCATCTTTGACCTTACAACCATTTCCTCGAAATTGCAGCTTTCTTCCTAATTTTGCTTCTTTGAGTAAATAGAAAAATACATCGAATTGTTTTATTCTATACTACATTCCTACATTTCATGGTATTCCCATTTTTTCGTAGAGTTTTTTAAATATTTGTATATTCCCGAGATTGGAGCTTTTCTTTTAATTTTTTTTTTCCGAGTAAAGGAGAAAATACATAACATTTTTTATTTTGTATTAAATGTAGGAATTTTGTGCTATTTCATTTATTCGTCAAAATTTTTAAATATTCTTGGTTTGGTAATTGAAGCTA